TAAGTGATTATGGTTGGAAGATAGAGTCCTTTTAGAGCATTCCAATGTGGAGTTTTGTTTCTAAGTTTCAGTGTTGGAAATAATTGACATCTCAACTTTAGGGAAGACTGTATTTGATTTCCTAGTTTTGCCATTAATTGGGATTGGAAGCCCAAATAATTGCTAACTTATTACCACTTAAGGATTTGTTGGTGCAGTAAGAATGTCAGTATATAGGATTTTCTTTTGGTTCTGAGGTTCTATGATTTTGTACAGAATGGTAATTTAACCCACAAATAGATCCCCAGTAAGATAGGTTTTATACCAAATACATTTGAAAATTTCTAACCTCCCTGCCCCTAAACCCTGTAACTTCTTTCCTTCAATTAGATGCCTAATGATTGCTGTTAATAATTATTTCTAGTTTCCTTTGCAGGTCAAATTGCGAGTATAATTTTATGCTTGCATTTTTCAACTTTTTTGAGGAGGAGGGCTTTGTTTCATTCTTGGCTTTTCCAGTTTTACTCTCTGGGTTAAACCTTCTGTATAATCTGTCTTTCATTCCCACAGAGGGTCTGAAGGAGAATACAGTCTTATTTGATATTTTAACAGCTTTTGAAACTGTCAAAACTTTCTTTTTAAGTACTCTCTCTTTAGTCTCCGATCCTGGTTCTCATTCTATTTCCCTTGGTATTCTTTCTGTATACCCTTTGCTGCTGTGTTGTTGTTAAGTACTGTTGAATCAAGTATGACTCATAGCAACCAGATGAATAACAGATCTGAACCCTGTCCTGACTCATAGCTATCTTGTGATTTGTTAATCTGAACCTTGTCCTATCCTGTGTCGTCCTTACAACCTCTGACACCCTCAAGCCCATACTGCCCAGTCACTGTGTCAGTCCAGTTGGTTAAGGATCTTCCTCTCCTTCACTGTCCCTCTACCTTTCCAACATGATGTACCTTTCTAAGGAATAACTTCTTATGGCAACTTGCCAGAACTATGTGAGACAAAGCTTCATCATCTTTGCCTCCAGGGAGTACTCTGGCTACACCTTCTCCAAGACATACTTTTTTGTTCTTTTGATGGTCCATGGGATATGCATTACTCTTCACTATAATTCAAAAGCATCAGTTCTTCTGTCCTCCCTTAGTCATTGTCCAACTCTCAGATGCATAACAAATAACTGAAAAGACTATGGCCTGAATCAGGTGCATTTTAGACCTCAAACTGACATCCTTGTTCCTCAGTAATTTGGAGAGATCCCTGACCACATACTTTACCAGTGTCATGAGGATTGTGCTGGTTTGTCTCCCTATAAATCTTTTGGTTTAGTGATCTGTAGTCATGCTATTTAGCTTTTAGGTTCAGAAAGAAACTTTATGTATTTTCCCTTTATTTCTCAGAAACTGTGATAAAAGAACATGCTTGTTGACAACTTTCTGATTATAGCATAAGAAGATTGAATACAAAATAAACTTTAATTGTGATCCAATGCAGTCTTCCATATTCTTTCTTTAATTAAGGATGTATGCCTCCACACAGCTAGTACAAGCAGTAAAATCCAGATGTACAGCCAGTTATGTCCTTTTGATGCAATTAATTAATAAATCCAACAAGGTTATCTTGAATTTCTGGATCATACCATAAATTATTGTTTGTTTTATAGCTTGTTTATTGTTATTTTCTAGTAGTATTTTAAATGCACTCTCTGCATTATAAAAGAAAGGTGTTTATAGCTTGTAATAAATACATACTTGATTAAAAAACAAAAAACTCCATACTTTCATCAGATTGGTTCTGATTTGTAGCAACCTTGTAGAATAGAAAGGCTGTAAATCTTTTCAGAAACACTGGCCCATCTTTTTTCTGCTGAGTATTTGGTGGGTTCAAACTGCTAAACCTTTGTTTAGCTGCTATATTCTTTAACCACTGAACCACCAAGACACAATTGTGAAAGTATAATTTAGTTTGGTAAATTGATTTTAAAAAATAACAACTTTCTTTATAAAACTAAATAAGAAAGTAACAAACCATTCAAGATACTATTAAGTATTTATGGAGAAAATCAAATTGATCTTTTTTTTTAAAAATGGGGCATTTATATGGGAATTGTTAAAGAAAACCTTTATTAATACCTGGTGCCAGGTGTCTGATCTTTCATCAGTTTCTGACATGTATAAAGGGTATTCTATTTGTCATAGAACTTCTCTAGATTAAGAAAGCACATTTGTGTTGATGGGCAGGTGTAGTTGTTCCGTGCATATCTTAGTGGTGTTTTTTTTTTATATATACGTAAAACCTATTTCCTCTACTTGATGTCAGGACTTGATTTTATCAGCAGAGTTATGTGATATCTTTAGCGTGCCTTTCCTTTGTCCTGTTTGAATGATCCTGGAGTTTCTTAAATCTGTGGACTGATAGCTTTCATCAGTTTCAGAGACTTCTAAGTGGTTTGCTGTGCATCTCTTACAGGGTAAGGTTTTTGTAGGAGGTCAAACCAGTAGCCACTGCAGTTGTAAATAAAGCAATTCTAAAGAAGAAAAATAGTTTCTTTAGCACACTGTGTAAAAAGGAAAAAGACTGCCCTTTCTATCTGTTCTGCTAAGATCAGTATCAGGCTAGTCACCAAAAGGTAGAGGTCAGCAGTGTCCCACTCCATCATTTCCAGCATCACTGGTTTTTCCTCTGTTCAGTGCCTCCACTCCTCTGTGTCTCTTGGGTTTTGAGATTTGCTGGAAGCTCTCACAGAAACTCAGACCTCATCAGGGAAATGACTCATGGCTGAGGGTGATGTGGCAGAGATGGGTGAGTGATGGCCCATGATCCAGCCCCGTTCATTGTGGCACAGCATTAAGCAGCAAAGCGTGCCTCCCAAAAAGAGCTTGAGCATTGAGCTCCCTTCAGTTTATATAGGCTTCTGCTAGGATAGGGTTCGTACCCTACTCTTCACCCATCTCCTTGATACAATAACTACATCATCTCAAAATTGAAAGGCTGTAGATGGAAAGGCCACATCAGTTCATTGTATCACAGAGACAGAAAAGAAAGGATTACTGGGGCTGCCAGTATGACAGTTCTTCCAGAGACCCCCCACATAACTGTCCTTCAGGGTATTTAAAGAGCAGGTTAAAAAAAAAAAGTGAAATGAAGGCCTGGTCATTTCCTTCAGATCAGGTCCATGTCAATGAATATGGCTTTAGGCTTGGGTTCTTTTGTTCTTCTGAGCCTTATTATATTGTATGTACATCCTCAAGGAAAGGTACTAAAGGATGAATGGGGGAAATTTCAAATAGAGAGTATGGAGGTTCTGCACACTGACTGTTGAATTGACAGTACGACTTTTTATAATCAGCTTGATACTCAAAGCAAATAGCCATTTCTGCAGGCCTTAAGCATGGCCAGATGCGTTGACTCTGAAGCAAGGTAGATATTGAATACAGGGATAATAAAAAAACCCGATAAATTCTTACTTTTATTAAGTACCTGGGTAAAGAGTGAAAGATAATGCTTAATTTTATGTCAGCTCCATATTACTGCTAATTTTACTACCACCGAATACCTTTGTTGCATTAGAGCTGCTTAAGTGGATTTTCATGTCCAGATCCATGAGTATTTGTTTTTTGACACTTGTTATTTATCCATCTCCTAAACTGTGTAGTCGAAAGACTTTAGATTTCATGTAACAGATTTCCAACACAGTAGTGAGGCTGACTTAAGTTAGGTTTCTAGGACAGAAAGTCTGAGAGTGGTTGTTAGAAAAGGATCAGTGACTCAGTAATCAAATCCTTCATATTACTAGCCTCAGGTGTCATGTCCCTAAACCTCCAGTGAGATTTGGCCTCTTCAGCGGGTGGAGGTTATCAAGTGCTGATTCATAACTCTTCCACAATTGCTCATCACCTATGATGGCGTCTAGAAACAGTACACTTTTGATGGTGTTGTTTCCTAAATTGTTCTTTCTTGAGAATTTAGCACTTAAAATTTCTTTAGAAAGACCCTACCGGATTTCTTTTAAAATTTACTATTAATGGCTGTTTAAGAAATACACCTTTATTTTTAATATTTTATCTTTTCATTTATGTTCCTGGACATACAGTGTTAACTCTGCACACCTAGACTGTAAGCTTCTTTTACGCAATAACCTTGTCTTTTTTTTTTTCTGTTTGATCATGGTTTTTTTTTTCTTTCTTTTTTAAAAACATTGATTTATTGACAAAGTTTTTAAACATTGTTTTTCATACCAGATCTTTCCCATTTCCTGCTCCCCCCTTTCACCCCATCCTATGTGAGCCTATGATTAACCACCCCATCCTCACCCCTCTGCTTCCACACCCCACACTCCCACCCCCTCTTTTGGATCTTCATACTTGTTCTACAGTAATGATTTTTATACAGTATTTATCCTTACGGTACTGAGTTCGTTCACTCAGCATAATGCTCTCCAGTCCCTCTCAAGTTAGGTAGTGATTTATAAAATTGTTGCTTCTGAGTGCTGCATAGTATTCATTTTGTGAATAATCAGTAACTGTGTCTTAATACAACTATATGGATCTCAGCCCACCACTGGAGTGCCTCCCCAATTATAATAAATCTTTATTATTTTATCAAAGTAAATATTAACAAATGTAGTCTTAATATCTTTTAAACTTAGCTTTAATTTTGTTTTAAAGTGCTTATCTGTCTTCTGATACAGCCTCTTTCTACATTTTGAATGAATTTTATTTATAATTACCCTAGTATGTGATATCTTTGTTAATAATCCATGATAATTGAGACATAAATATTTCTTGAACTTGGCATGAAATTCTTTTATTTAATGCCATATTGGGTGTAAACATTTGCTGATTATTTTTCAGCATTTTTGTCTTTGTTTTTGGTTATAAGTCATTTAACAGATATTTAGTGCAGACAAAGCCATGTCCTGTGGGTAGCTAACTAAATATTTTGACTACCATTTGAAAATATTTTTATTATGTTGGTAAAATAGACCACTCAGTTTATAATTTTCTTGTCATTTTAGGGTAAAGTTCACCTCGAATTAAAACTGAATGAACTGATAACAGACAATGGAAATGTTTGCCAGCAGCTTGTTGTACAGTAAGCATATATATATTTTTACCGAAATCAGCTAGCAGAATCTTCCCTTTTGTGTTATTTAAATCTTAAACCAACTCCTTATTTTAAATATTTCCAAAACTGTTTTCTGTTTTGATATTTCCATAAATTAATCTGTTACACTATTCCTTTATTAGGTTGATTTTTATATCTATCTAGATTTATCAAGTTATTGTAAATCATTGATATTGTGAATCCAGCCATAATATTTTTGAATGTGAGATAATGGGGAGATATTATGGGATCACCGAGAAAGGCAGGATATTTGTGAAAGGCATCCGATGGGGAGGTCTTCTGGAAACTCTACCAGACATTACAGTAGGAGGGGAAGTTCTGGAGTCCTAGTGTTCTGGATCAGGGGCTAGAGTCAGATGCCCAGCCTGAGATGACTAGTATTGATTTCCACCTGCCTTGAATTCCTGTTTGTATCATCCTTCTCCCCTGTAGACATTCTTTGTTACCCACACTCTAATCTTCTAACTGTTCTGGAAGCTGCTTACTCTAACCCAGTCTCCCACCTCTTCTCTTCCACCCAGACCCCTTTTCTGTGCTATCAGTTGGCATTACTTTATTTGCATTAACAAAAGGAATTGCATGTATGAAGTTAAAATTGTGGACTTTACTTTTATAGGAAAGGATTGTGGTGAGGGGGGGAATACCTTTAGTTTCCATTTGCTAAAAAATCACAGTTATAAAACACCCCACCAAACTGTTAGAAATGCTTATTTTTGAATATTTTCCCTATCTTTTCATTAACTGATAAATGGATAGCTCTCGTAGTTCTTTTTCAGCCTTCTCAAGCAGAGGCTACATGTTTTTCTAACATTCTCACTTGCATTATGGTCAAGAAGTAGAGGAAATGTTTTCCTTGCTTTATTGCTACTTCAGATTTTGATTGTGAAAACTCTGCTCCTTTGAAGCAGTATATAGTATACTACCCATCTCTTCATTAAAAATCAATGAATCGGCAAGCTCTGGTGGCCTAGTGGCAAGAAGCTGCACTGCAATCCCAGAGTTGTACGGTTCAAATCCACCAGATGCTCTGCTGAAGAAGGAGGGACAATCTCCTCCTATACCAGTCAGATCTGATTTGACGGTACACAAATAAAAAATAAATAATAATAAAATAATTATTAATAAAAAATCAATGAATCATGTATTTTTTTTCTTTACTCCTGACTCCCATCATCATTTTTGGTGATAGTGTGCATGAATGGATGACTTAGTCAATACTGTGGTCCCTTAATTCTTGCCTCCTTAATTTTCCCCTCTGTTCTGTATAAATTACACAGGGTGGAGAGCTAGGTATAGAAAAAATTTGACCACATTAAAAAAGGCTTTCCAGTTCAGTTACTCAGATACTTCTAATGTCAGAACTGAAACTCGCTGCCATCGAATTGGAAGCTCATAGCTGACTCTCCAGTGGGTGCTGGGAGGCCGTCCACTGGGTGGGAGGACATTGTACATCGCCTGTAGAGCTGTTGGTGAGTTCAAAACTCCAGATAGACGTCACCTTTGGATTAACTGCACAATTCCTGTGAGCTGTGCCACTAGAATGTCCTCTCCTACTCGTATTTTTTAAAAAACCAAATAGAAGAATTTTTAAAAAATATTGAAATCCTTTCAAGCCCAAGAAAACATACAAATAGAATGCAGAGAAGTTTTAAGTGTCCTTTACCCAGATTTACCAACTTGTGACATTTTGGCATGTTTATTATTCTCTCTGTAAATGCGTGCATAATACAATATCCGATTGTGTATGTCGTTGTTATTAGTTGCCAGCAAGTTGATCCTGACTCATGACAGACTGATGTGCACAGAGTAGGAAATGTGCCCTTGGGTTTTAAGGCTGTGATCTTTCGGAAGCCCTTCCTCCAAGATAGCTCTGTGCAGGTCAAAACTGCCATCTCTTTATATTGACTCATAGTCAATCAGGCATTTAACTTCTGTACCACTCAGGGACTTTTTGCTTATGTACAGTTTAATGGTATTTTTTCTGGACCATTTGAGTAGAGCTGTATCATATTTTAATGCATCAGTGTGTATTCCTAAGAACAAGGATGTTGTTGTTGTAGTTATGTGCTGTCGAGTCGTTTGCGACTCATAGCAACCCTATGTACAACAGCCCTAAACCCTGTTCTATCCTGTGCCAATCTCATTGCCTCCAATACACCCATCCCAATTACCGCAGTCACTGAATCAATCCACCTCATAGAGGGTCTTCCCCTCCTGC